TGTTGTTACCCCAACTGAGATGCCTCAGGCCTGAGGCTAAGAAACTGACTCTAGATTCGTCCTTCAAACCAACAACGGGCGCCAAGAAAGTTCAGGTGCACCCCCACGACCCAACCAAGACGGCTGAGATTGCTGATGACCTCGATCCCAAATAAGAAAGGGAAATTTTTGTTTTTGCCACTCTATGTTTTGCCAAATTTTGTTATGCCACTCTAGCTTTTGACATTTCAATTTTGCCACTCTTAACTTTTGACAGTACATCACGATTGCTATGCTATGGCAAAACCAAAAAATTTAGAGTGTCAATTGTGATACATTGTCGAAAGTTCAGAGTGGCAAAAGTGAAATCAAATTATTTTTCTTTTGCCATGGAATGGCAATTATGATACATTGTCAAAAGCTAAGAGTGATACAAGTGAAATGTCAAATGTTAAGAAAAGAGACCAACACGGGCTAGACTAGCATGTTGGTATTTTTTTATAGAAGAAAACTCGTGAGCACCAAATGCTCAAGCCGAGACTTCAACCCTGGTAGGCTGACTGCGAACTCCCGCGCCTTGCCAACTAAGCTATGCCTAGTTCTCGAAATGTCAAATGTTAGAGTGGCATAAGGAAAATTGGCAAAATCTAGAGTGGCAAAAACAAAATTTTCACAATAGGAAATAGAGCTCGTCGGCTTCCTCCGCGAGAATTGTGATATCTTTGCATGACCTACCTCAACATGCATCCATGCACAGAAAAGCCATGCATGATTTTTTATTCTATTTACTTTAAAAAATATTATACAACTATACATGATCAAATATAATAAGTCATATGCATTTTTAATATTGATGAATTTCATTAATCTAAATATTATATTTCACACAATAAAATTTAATTTAAATATATTGCAACCGATTCCCACGACAACACACTAGGTATCATCTAGTAATAAAGAGACATGATGACTTTGTTTTGGAAAAATAGAGGATGAGAAGAGAGGAACTCAGTTTGAGTCTTGTCCGGTCCATGAGCGAGTCGGTCTGAAGGAAAACGTAAACGAGCCGGCAACTGGCATCGCCCATTGACAAGCACCGTGTTTCCTTCTACCAAAAATCTCGAATTTTATATAATTTTTAAATAATTTTGCAAAATCAGTCAAAAAGGAAAAAAGGTATTAGGTGGTGCAATATGAGAAAACCTCATGGTATACCAAAATTATATATCTGCTAAAAAGAATCATTTCTCTATATGTAAAAAATGTTCACATATATAAAACAGTTTGTCTAATTCACATCTAAATGTTTTCTAAGTATGTCACATCTAACCTTCCACAAATAACGCAGCAACAAGGAACAAAAAATATATAAAAAGTATTTTTATGATATGGAATTATGACGTACTACGTATAAGAAGTTAATGTTTCATGTATCAGGAAAATTACCGGTAGTTCTCAAAAAAAAGTTACCCGTATGGTCGGTTGCAACCTTGCAATTGTAGACCGACTCGACTCGCCATCGCTATATAAGCGAGCCAATCGTACGTCCTCCTCCAACTCCAATCCGCACCCGGATCCCTGCCGGTCTGCAAACCCTAAAACCCCACCACCTCCCGCAGCACCCGCGATGGCTCCCGTCGCCGACGCCGACACGGCGGACCGCAAGCCTCCCTACTCCTGAATCCTGATCCTCTAAAAAGAAGTACCCTAAGCCATGGCGGGCATGGATCACGCGCCGCCGGGCTTCCGCTTCACGCCGACGCGGGAAGAGCTCATCCGCTACTACCTCAACCCCTAGGTGGCCAACCCAGGAAAGACGCCGGTCGGCGAGCCGCAAGGCATCGTCTGCGTCGTCGACATCTACAGCGAGGACCACGCTGAATCAGAAATGGTTCTATTCGATACTCTTGTCGACACTGACATTATTCGTCAAACATTATTCTGGCATATTTGTATGATTTTTTTTTACTTCTTTGTAAGTCATTTGTTCTTTTATCAAAATTGGAAACATATATTGCTGCTAAATGTTAAGATATATTGTATTTTATATACAATTGTAATGTCCGGATTACAAACAAACACAGACACAATAAGTCGAAATGACATTTTCGTGGTAGAGTTAGTTCTAGACATTGTTTCCTAAAACACCTTTTGTTTTAATTCATCCCCTTTAGATCAAAGCAAGAAAAATCACATTACAATCTAGATTAGTTTGTGTCACCTATGTGTTCGCATATAATTATTATCATCAAATATCTAATAAAGAACTATAGAGTAACATGTTTGACACAGATCTTCATAAATATTTCTAGAGGTTATATAGTTGATTACCTTATGTATAAATAAATTGAATGCTCCAGAATGTATAGGATGCCCACGTTGTTTGGCCTGGAATCATTATCATTATTTGTCAATTCATGTTATACTAGCATGATTAGTGTGAGGTTGGCGTTTCTGAATTCTTGATCATATGCTCCCGCGTGATGGAACAATAAATTCAAAAAATAGGGGGGAGGGGGGCGATCAAAACTCTGAGGAAAAATTGGCATCATAGATGATCATGTTTTCTAGGTGTGTACAAAACTGGGCATTGATTTGACATCAAGCGAGCTTTGCACGGAAGAAAAAGAAGATCAAAGCTTTGAAAAAGGATTAAAAAAATCAGATTTCGGAGTGATGCTTTTTCAGAACTCCCCTCATGCCAAATCGACATGAAAGCAAGTATGCACCTAAAAATGCGAGAATTTTTTATGCCAAAAAGGTTTTTTTTTTAGAATTACTGTTCATTCGGGAACACATGAGCTTGGGATCAGCCATCAGTTACTGGATTAGTGCCCTTTGCTGCACTTATGGATATGAAATTATAATTCTATAAATCATATATTATAATGTCTCATAATTACTCTGAATTATAATATCTCAGAATTACACTGCATATAAAAAACATAGATTGGAATGCTCAGAACCAGTGAGCATAGGTCGATTCAAGAAATGCCCATGATTTTAATTACTTATGTAACTACTCCCACAAGTTGGATTAGTATCTTCTTGATCTCTTCCTTGTTGATCTGCGGATTCTCGATCTTGCATACTTCTTTCTTCTTC